TTTATCATATTCATCCGTTTTGAAATAATTCTGAGCATCACTTCATCACAGCCACCAGCAATTGAGAATAATCGAAAATCTCGATGATAACGGCTAATCAAATTGTTCCATTCATAGCCATTACCACCCCAAAACTGTAAATGATTTCTGTTTGGAAATATCTTAAATAATTTGAAAATTAAAAAATCAGCATTTTTTGAATTTAAAACAATGAAATTATAAAAAGGAACAAAAGAATTTATTTCATTACAAATTTCACTAAAGAAATAATTTTAGTTCCTTATAAAAGTTTTATTTCTGTTTTCTCTGAATGTTGTTCATTGTTAACTGCAAATATTTTAATCCAATAAGAACTTCAACTAAAAGGTAGATTTAACAACGGTCTAAGCAAAGGTCAATATCACTTCACTGATAAAATAGAAATGATACAAATCTAGCCAAATTCTTATGCAGAAAATCATAAAAATTTATACTTGTATGCAAGAATCGGTCACTGCTCTGGCCAGACGTGAAGCTTTCAGTTTTCCCATACTGGCCAGCATTGTAACATCTTTCCCAAGTAGCCGTTCCATAACAGCTCGATATAATAGTGATCGAACTGCTTCAATGTCTGTTTGTAATTCAGCTAATCGATAATGCACAGTCTTAAAATTTTATAAAATTTTAATTTTAAAAAAAATGAATGCTGAATTTTTGTCTCAGAAAAATGCATAAAATTTCAACGCATAAAAAAATTAATCGATAAATATATGAATTCTTTTTTCCGGTAATTAAATATATTAAAATTGAGAAAAAGGAATAAATGAAACAATAGTAAAAGTTGCATTAAGAGATTAGTAAGTTATTTATGATTAAAATTAGTAGAAAATAGAATGTGCGATATGCAACAATTGTTATTTCCAGTTTTAATTTATTCGGAAAGAAATAGTAAAATGTTCGAAAGATAAGAGAAGGTAAAATGTTTTACCTGATTATCCAATACGCTTTTGTTAAAAACACGTCTCTGTCTCGTATATGCAATTGTCATGTCAATAATTTTTTGCATTGGTTCAAGTACTGAATGTAATGAAAAGTTAAAGTTAAAATGTGAAAAATTTTCAAGTGAGAATTTATCCTCCATAAAATAGTATTAAGAAAATATGACGAAAAAAATGGCAATTAAATGTAGTAATGAAGATATTTAGTAGAAATTTAAAGAGATCAAAAAATTTAAATATTACCCACAAATCTATATGGAAGCGCAAATGACAGATGTGATGATGCGACAATGTAGCAAATGAGGGTGCATTTTGTTAGCTATAAATGATGATCGAGAAACTTACGCACAGCAATAGCGACAAGTCGTTCATCCTGAAATTGCAACATCTGATAGACAAAACCATGTCCTTCTTCCCCAATTATATTTCTGCTTGGTATCCGAACACTATCAAAGTAAATTTCAGCAGTATCGGAACTATGCATGCCAAGCTTTTCAATACGATTCGATCGATGTACACCTGAAAATTTAAGTAAACTTTTTTACTTTCTAACACTCAAAGCAATTTTCGTCTTCTAAGATATTTCAATTTAAAAAAAAGCTCATTTTATTATCTTTTCATTTCAAATTGTTACAAAATAAACAATTTCCGCATAGGGGTACGAAATTTTAAAGAGTTTATGAAATATCTCTTAGTTTTAGGAAAAAAGTTGATGAATAAAGTTCAGGTAAAATAACCTGGCTCATTTAATGGCACACATATAAGACTCTTATTTTGATGTGGTGATGGATTATCATTTGTATTTGCTAGCAAGCAAATCCAATCTGCTTGTGTACCATTTGTTATCCATTGCTTACTACCATCAATGATCAAATCACTTCCATTCCAACGAGCTGTTGTTCGAATTGCTGAAATTATTTTCAAAGAAAGAAAATTGTTAACATATTTAAAGTTAATTTTTTACTTCTTATTTAATTCTTACCTCTCAAATCAAACAAAGTTTCAAGTTTTGTTGTTGTGTGTAGATTTTTTGGTGTGTTGTACCATCGGGAAACAGACAAATGAATTTTATTTTTCAAGAATTAATAAAACAATTTAAAATGAAATTTACCAGCAACATCACTACCAGCACAAGCTTCCGATACACCCAAACATGCCACAAGATCACCTTTCAAAGTAGCATCGAGAAATTCACGCTTCAAATAATCACTTCCATGTGTAGAGAGCGCTGGTGTAGCCATATCTGACTACATGTTTGTTCAAGCCGAAAAGATATTTCATTTCCTATTTAATTTACTTACTCATTATTATTTAAAGATTTCATATGAAAGCCTCATAAATTCTCCGGTTAACAATTGTTTGATTTTAATGTTCAGAGAAAAAAAGATGAGAAAGACTGATAAGATCTCTATCTGTAATAATTCTTTTAATTCTCAATTGTTGAAAAAACCAGAAAAAATTGAAACCTGAACAGCTATAGCCATCGGAATAGCCGCACAATTAATCCGGCCTAATTCCTCGGCTATAGCTATCGAATAACTAAAATCCAGGCCAAGACCGCTGTAATCTGAAAATAAAGATACTTGCATTCGCTCGAATGTTTTTTAGTATTCTTTATGCTTATTTTAAGCATTTTTTGATATTCAGTGCAATTTTCTCAAGGTTTAGTGTTACTAGTATAAGTGATTCAAATATAGCTTAAGATGTTGAACTTTGGCCTTGTGCAAGGAGCTTATCATCGATGCCTTCTTACGAGGAAGTAAACAATTGAATGTTTATCAGACAGATTTCTATCAATAATAAAATCTTCTGATAAGCAATTTCCCTTCTTTCTTGCGTTTGATATTGCGTCTTTTTCTTTATCAACAAAAAGTTAACTAAGTCAGACATACATCTGTACTGCTAACAGTTATTTCCAATATTCCAGTTCCGGTATATGCCGGAAGGAAAAAGAAATCTTACCAACTGGCTTATTAACACCAAAGATCCCAAGTGATCCTAATTTTTTGAACAAAATATGTGCTGGGAAATGTTTCTGTGCTTCCCATTCATCGACATATGGATTGATGCTTTTATCGATGAACTGAAAAGTGATTCTTTTTTTGGAAATGATAACAACTAACTAAATTACACGCAGAAAATAACCGAAATTAACTTCTATAAAATATCATTTATTTCTCTCATCGAATGAACTGTTAACTACTTTAAAACATTTAATCGCCCAAGTAGTGCTGTCTTTTTGTCATGTTTTGAACGGTTCTGTGCAGCAAATAGGAAGAATCAAACACAGTTTCAAATTTTGCTTTCAAAAAAAAGAAAATTTTCCATCCATATTAAAAAGAGAGAGAAGGGAAAAGAGTTCACATACTTTCCCGAGTAATTGTCGAAATTGCAGATGTCGCGGTCCATAGATGGAGTGTTGTGACAGTCGAGAAATTGCTTTGGGTAAGTTAGCTGCCATTAACTAAATATTTTATGCAGTTACAAAATTCAGTTTCGCAAAAAAATCGCAAGAAATTTTTGTATTCGAAAATTTAATATTTCTTAGAAATTTATTTGATAATTTTTAATGTATTATAAAAAAGGACAAGAATAAAGTTACACTTTTTCATATTTGACATACGCAAACACTCGGAAACACTTACTGATACTGGAAAAATCAATAAGAATATTCTTTGAAAAACATAATACACAATGCCAAAAATTGGAATGATTTTAAACAATTAATTAAAAAATGAATACTCATCTATTTTGTGCAAATGAATTTTACGAGAAATGTCCTTCAATTTATTGCAGTTTTTTTCCTTCCAGAAGTTGCAAATTTAGCAAAAGAAGAAAATCATAGTAAGGATAAAAAAACTGAACGAAGTCAAATAAATAAAGTGTTCAAATTAGGTTAAAAGGAGAAAAAAAGAGGAGATGAAACAATCAGCAAAAAATTCATCATCAAAAAAATAATGATTAGATAAAGTATAGGAGTAAAAGTGTACATTGATGAATTCTCTCTCCTTATCGAGAGAGAGAGAGAGAGAATATATTCGGGTACCGGGAAAAATAAATGAAAGAGATGGGGAGAAAAGAATGGATCCACCAATTATAGCTGACTGCTCTCACTTTGTTAACATTTTCTATAGAACTTGTTCTATTCTGACCATAGAACTAAATGAACACCTAAATTATCATTATCAATCTGTCAATCCCTGACATTGTTTATCTTTAATATCAAAAGTTCCCAATCTTTCTCATTCTAATTTCCCATCTTTTACCTGTCCGATCATCTTGCCCATGAACCAGATAAAACTACTCAAATTAACATTCTCGATGCACCATACTGGAACAGTCATGACGATCTGCCACTTTAAAATCACCTTCCTCCGGTTTCTTCCCGTCAACCAATTTGCTTTACTTCCGTTATCTTATCTTTAGTTATAAAATGAATCTTTACAAAAATCCATTTAGTATTTCGAATTTCATTAAAATTAATGGAAATGAAAAAAATCAAATAGATTAAACGAAATTAAGGAATAAGGAAAAACCAAATGTAAATAAATACGAGAAGTCATGAACCGATAAAATGTTCAAAACTGTTGCTTAGCATCGCATTGTCCTATTAACTTTAAATTGATTTCTGTTTCTTCAAAATATAATCATACGGCGAGTCCATATATCCTCATTGGTTGACTTACTTAAGCAAAAAGGATTCCTTCCATGTGATTTTTTTGATTATAATCCTCGGAAATATTTTCTCAATCTTCAGCTTCTGCCATTTTGACATTTTGGCACAAGATTACAAAGATTTTGAAATTTCATATTTTGAAGGTATTTATTCATTGTGAATTGATAAGTATATACAACAATATATACAACGTGTGAAACGAGAACAAAACAAGCCTTGAATTTTCCACAAATATCAACCTCAAAAAAATGAAATTAGCATGAAAACATAAGTCAACTCCATTATTACAACACAAACAGAAATAATCAACAAGAGCAATATATTTCAAACAAGCTACTTTCGAAGCATCAAGTCCGCTCCTTATCATCAATAAATGTAACTTCGCTAACAATTAGCACCTTAGACGGCAGCGGATATGGTTGTGGACTTAGGACTGTTAGCTTTTCTCGTTCCATATCCACAGCCGTAATTACAACAAAACCCATCACGTTTGTTGTAAGTATTGACTGATCGACAGTTGTACACAAAGAAAGCGATACAAGATGATGCACCAAATCTCCTGATGGTTCAACTGTTACTACCTATAAAAATCTATTTCAAGATTTGAATACATTAAAACTTGAGATCGTATCTCTTTAGGAGAGATTATAAAACTTTTAAATGAATAATATTCAATATTCGTTATACTAAGTTCTGAATAATTTCTGCAGCAATATTTACTTATATGTAATAATTTCGCTTTTTTTAAGCTATTAGTCTTATCGACTATCTTCCGTAATCTCCAGTATTATCAAAATTTGTCATAAAATCAAAAAACAAATACTTTTGTTCTATGGTCCTCAACTTTCATCCCAAATGGTAAACATTCGATAGGTAATCGTTCACAGCCAACTTTGCAAAACTGAACTTCATTAAATGATAATTCGAATGTATGTGGATAAAGTGGCATTGAGCGTGTGCCATAGAAATACTGAAATTATTGAATTTCATTGATAAAACAATCAATTTAATCTGAAAAACATTCCATATTTCAGAAGTATGCATTTACACGTAATTTTATCTTTTACAATTTCGAAAGTAAATTTAGATTATTCAGCAGAAAATGAGATCCTTTTTTCAATACCTTCAAAGTTGAACATTTTTCTAGTCAATTTTATATGTATATAGATTGATGATACAGAAACCTTATGTACAGCAGCATTGCGACTCGATATTCTGACTTCTTTCGAACGATTCTCAACACCACCAGACTTCGGCTGATGCAAGATCTACAACAATATATTACAATTTAAATATTTAAATAATCAATTCTTCTAGATAAGTAAATAATACAAATTCACATTCTCACTAAATATCACAAATTTTTGCTTCTTAACAAAGTGCTTTCTTTTTTAATCTATGTCTTGAATTATTAGGTCGACGATGTTTACGATCTTATGATATGTTATTTTGACTCATTTAAACTTTTTGAATAACATATTTTTTGTGTTTCAGTTAGTCTAAGATCTATTCAGGATGTTCAGATAGATATTAATGAAAGATGGAAACAAAAATTTAACCTTAACAAAAGATGGCAAATCTCGCTGTAACTCATTATACAATCGCTCGTGATCTAATACAATTACAACGTCAACTTCAAACTCTTCTGCTGCATTTACTAAACACGCATACCTGAAATTGAGTTAATTTTTGCTGTGCATGTCGTATAAGCTTAACATTCTCGTTTTAGAAAGTCCTTAAAAACTATCTCAAACACTTATCACATTCAGCATTCATGTTTGTTGTTCTCAGCAAAGTAATTATGAACGAATTTTTGTAAAAAGAAAAAGCATCAATTAGAAAAATCCACCATACTATGTTTTTAATAATATTAATATAAGTAAAATTATGTAAATTAGTTACCCTTCTCCTTTAACCCAACCGCATGTATTGATTATCACTCCCCCATAAGTAGCATCTTGGTTAGACTTTCGTCTTTTCGATACTGCCTCCGCAAGTTGCTTCACTAGTAAATCGTATAGTGGAATGTTAGAACCAGGCGAAAGATTTCCAAACTAGAAACTATACAAATTCAGCTTTTCATATAAGACAAAAATTAAAGTATTCTCAATTATCTATGAGTAGATGGATGCTCCCAAAACAGCAAAAAAAGTGGAAGTAGAAAAAATTTTTAGGTTTAAATTGAAAATGAATTTAATCTTGTGAACAAGAGCTTCATGTAAGCTGCCAATTCATCAAATGTTTAGACGTTCTCAACGACAGGCATCAAATTAGTTTTGCAAAACTTATTAGTGGAGGTGGAGTGCTACCCACCAACACTTAATTTCATTTTGGATTTAAAAAGAATCATCTGTATATACAATGATACTTTACATATAAAAATGTATGCATATTCAACACTCATGCTTGACATCTAAAAATTTAAACATACATGATATACTAAGGGTGCCTTTTTATCAAAACCTTCAACAACATCAGCTGTTTTCTCGATATAAAGTGCTCCAACAGTTCCAGGTACAGAAATACTTCCCTGAAACCCAAAATTCATTTTGTTGGAATAATAAAACGCAAACCCTAAACCATTAAACATTACCAACAAAGATTGCAAACGTCTCGACAACCAGTTTGAAATTAATATCACCTCCATTCTCAAAGAATGTGAATATGGTCCAAACTTAAAGCTTCATGTTTTATTCTCGTTGAAGCTATTATGAAAATTGAAAAAAACTACCTGTCCAACATCCAGATCAACAAATATTGGTGTTCTGCCCACACGGACTGCATAATTACACAGAATACGACACACTGTTGTTTTACCCACATCTGTTGGACCCACTATCATTAATGAGGGTCCACGAGCTTGTTCTTGTTGCATAACAACTGATTCAGCATGCTCACGTAACTGCTCTAAAGCTGCATGCGTATTCAAATAAATGATCTGAAATATACCCCTTTCACATCCTTGCAGTAAAGAAAAATCTAAACCAACACATAACTGCAGTGTGATAGTTACTAAAATCGTAAATTCGAGAAAACCTTAAATTTTGATTATTAAGTTAACTGCACCTTTCGCACTGTTGCAACTTGCTAAATTATACCGGAGTCATTTTAAAAAAATTGGATATATTAAATCTCATTTAATATCCATTTCTCCATGCTTTTTCATGATAATGATTTATTATTTGCTGCTTATTTTATATTTTTTTAGACGAAGTAACATTAGACAAAAAAATTAGGAGTGATTTTCTTATTTGACTTTAATGATCATAGGGCGGTAGAAAGGAATAAAAGCGATGTGCATAACAACTTTAACCTATGGTTACAAAGTTTAATTATTTCAGCACCAAAATTTCAAATTAAAACTCTTAATGACAATTATTGAAATGTGTCTCATTTTATATACTTGTGAATGAAATAATAACGCATACCATTGGAGTTTGTTCGGCAACATAAGCACTTTCTGTTTTTCCAACAAGTTCCACGACAGCTTTCTTCCATGTGAATACAGCTACTCTCGATCCTGAAAAGTATATAATTCTCTACGGCAACTGGAAGATCACCAGAAGTTTACAGTTAACTTGATGAAACCAAAAGAATTTCGACTTTAATATGCGCACACACAGGTTTAAGTGAATTTGAGCAATACATTTTTCATACAGAAATAAGAATAATTTCAGATAAATATTTCGATACCAGCTGGGAAGACATATTTCTTATGCTGAATAAGCTCGGTTCCAAAAACCTCAGCTCGCCCATCCACTAGCTCCAACATTACATCACCATTTGCGACCTGAAATATGACGATATCAAATACATTGCGACTTGAGCCATCCTAATCCTCTCACTTTTCTTCTGCATTTTCGAAATATTCTCCTGCCACTTTCCACAAATCTATACATGAAGCTAAAAGGAGCTTGAAACAGCAGAAAATAAACTAAGTTGAATTAAAAATTTTAAACCTCAAAACGCAGCTCGTTATCCTCTTTCAAAGTGAATTCTTGAAGATTCTGTTCTGGAGGTGATTTTGCCGATTCCATAATTTCTGTTGAATCAAAGAGTTATACGCAATATTTGTACTATCTGTAAAGTGCGCTAACCTAACTTTTAAATAATCATATGCATATTTATCAAATTTTAATATAAAATACACGAACTTCGGAAGATTCAATGTGAAATTCGCACTAATGATTGCTAAACAGTTCCCGTCAAATGAATGTATATGAGCTCATGTAAGACTTCAGGCAATTTTAATTATTAAAATGACACAAAATTTAAAAGAACAAATCTAAAGTTTCTCCAAATTAATGTCAAATTGAAACAGCACCTCATCCCTCCACTCTCTTTCGTTGTGACAATGTAACGACACACCAACGAGTAACGAAAGATCTCAGTTGTTGAAAAGTTATTTGGTGTGTCTGTATGTATGTTCGTTGCAATCTCTGAGATAAACGGTTCCTGTTGTTATTTTTAATCTTTTTGCTGCCCCTCCCATTGTTTTTTCCAGCCTGAGAGGATCTCTAAGCCTCCTTCAATTCTTTGCCATTCCCAATTACTCTCACAACTTTAGAATATTATGGAGTTTCGCAATTCCTTACTAAAATAATGTCGTTTCGTCGTTCCTTACAATCCCTATTTTCTTCCATTAATCCTTCTTTTCTCTTTCTAACTTTAACAACTGCTACCTCGAACTTTATTAGTCTTTCAAACGCGTGTATAACATTCTGTAGTCGATAAAGAAGAAAATCAATTCCACCTATTTCTTTGTTTTTTTCTGGTCATGACAATGTTGGGGTCATGAATCCCGACTGGAATGCGGAATGTGACAGTCTGGTAAGACCGAGAGAGGAAAAAATGATGGAGTGAGCTTTTTGTGCTGATAAAACTTATTAAATAACAGATTTTTATCTCTTGCTGTTAGTTTAGGTCGGTATCACATGATTTGATAATAATGATGAGATTGAGCATAATTTCAGGTTATTTTCAGGATAAGGAGTATATTTGGTGAAGAGAATTATGGCCTTTACGCAGCCAAAAACATCAGTGGAAATACCGCTGAAAGATAGTACCGAAAATGTGAGTAAATAACTTAGTTTGTGACAAAATCATGAAGTAATAAATAGATGTGAATATTTACACAAGGAGTTCGGAATAAGTTCACATTTTATTCAAGAGAATGGACCAGACGGAATGGCTTCATTATCATTCGTCTTTTCTTGTGGATTTTGTTTAGGATTCTATTGCATCATAGCTAAGAATAGCTGTGATACGACAGAATTCTAAATATGAAAATGTTTAAATGAGTTTAGTGAAATACTGTTAATGCAATAAAGTATGCTGTTATTAATTAGCTTGGTGTCAGCTTTCTATGTGTCAACTGCACTTGATTTTTTTACGATCTCAAAAATATAAAACTTGAAATTTAATTATTGGAACTGTGGGATATAATACTAGGATATGCAACGATATATGCGAGATTTCTGCGTAGAAATCTGGAATATAACGCAACGCTGGGAAGAATTAAATGGATCAACATACATTTTGCTGGAGAAAATCGTTAACAACCGTCTATGTCTTATGTATGCTCAATCAGCTGACGTTAAGAAAGAAAGAGATGTAGGAAAAAAAGAATCGGAATCTGATCTAAGTGCTTTGTTGCTGAATGAAAAAGATAATGGCTGTAGCACCACAAGTGTTGAATTACAAAGAAACCGATTGGAACAGAATGAAAGTAGCAGAATTACCGAAAAAATTGTGCGAGATGTGGAAGAATTGGTGGAACTGGTCAATGTGCAAATGACTCGGATGGTTGACGAACTCCAAAGCATGCGTGAACGACTCGCAGGATTGAAGAAATTAGAAAATTTACAAAGAGACAGACGAAATCTGCCTCATTTTCAAAATCCTAAATTGAAAGAAATAAGTGAGATTTTACCGCTTATTGTAAAAATGTATCAGGAAGAGTTGAAAGCAAAACATGCTGCACTTGATGATTTAGCAAATTTCGGTAGCAGAGATATATTTTTGGCTATCATGGCATCCTGGTCTCATCAGCCTTTTATAGACCGTTCAACATTGAGTCGTTTGTATTCTCTTGTTGTTTAATTAGTTTAAAATATCGCAGTTATTACGGGATTGACATATCAAATTATTTTCATGTTTGTATAGAAATTGACATCGTATCTTTTTTTATGTTTATGGCAACTTACTTCTTTCAACTCGTATGTTCGAGGAGATGAAATTCTCTTACTCTCTGCTAATGATTTCTGAATAATTTCTGTAATTCTTTTCTGAATAATTCTTTTAATTGCATGAACTTACGTTGTTTTTGTTTCTTTATTTGAATAAATTTTCATAAACTTCAAAATTTTCACAAAGTAACAATAGTTGAAGTTTGAGAATTTTTGCCTGGTATCGCAATGCTCACTAACTTTATAAATCTTGATAGGAATATTAAATTATCGCTTATGTTATGCTCTTTTGGATGTAATTCCATTCTT